AAATGGAACAACTGCACGTCCATCTGGTAATAGCTCGCAAACTTCAATGCGACCTAATCAAACGACAGCAAGACCACAAACAAATGGAACAACTGCACGTCCATCTGGTAATAGCTCGCAAACTTCAATGCGACCTAATCAAACGACACCAAGATCACCAACAATCGGTCCTCAAACGTCAATGATGAGAAGTGTCGGTACAGCAGAATCATTCGGTACCACTTCTGATACCTGGCCGATAAAAGGTGAATAACTCGACGGCCAATGATTACGGAAATGGCGCCCCTGCCAGTTGGGAGACGTCGGCGTCGAGAACTCTTCCCATGATGATTACATCTTGTGTTGCTTATATATGTCATAGCTACTGAAAATAGTGAGTTCATTTTGAGGCCAGGTTTCGAAAGAATTGAAACTACGGACCTTTTTTTTGAATAAACTATTCACCAGTCAATACATAGCCTTGTGTCTTAGAGATGCGGATTAGTATGAATTTCGTTTTCTGGCTGAGTTCATTAAGTACTCAGCTCGAAGACCTTTTTCTGCTGGTGTGGTTAACTTTATCGTGTTTGATAACCTACTTTGTGTGGCACCTGATATTTCGTGGTAGTGTTTCGTTTGGTGGCAGAGTGGCTCGTCTGGTTCAGCGCTGCCAAGTTCTATGAGGTTGGGATATTGTGTTTGTATTAAACGCAATATGTATCGAGTATTGAAGTATATAGGGAGAAACATGAATTCACCGATCGCCACACACAGCGAGACAGAAGTAGCTATTTTTCAGGATCAGTACCTCTCTAGGAAATATTTAAAGTTGCGTGTCTCAGATGTCAAAAACTCTGATTAATATGCTGCGGATAACTTAGCGGTTTCTGAGTGCAGGCACAGTTTTATAATTCATGCTGTTGTATGTTATAGTTTAGGCGGAGAGCTTTCCTTGACGTGGACGATTCCTTGGATTGATTCTAACGGGTAGCCCATAAAGAATGGCGGTGTCAGTATTTCGTGAATATCTCCCTCAATTTTCATTGCCCAGGCTTCAATCTTTATTTAAAAGACGCGCCGTTCAATTCTCTACAAAGCTGTATGAAAAGAAACTCTTTCGATGAATAGCTGAGAAATCAAATCCTGTCAACACTACGGTGCTCTAAAGAGACCCACTTTCAAATGCGCTTTTTTTACACAACTGATTATTTCTCGTCTGCTGGCTAAACAGATGTCAAGTCGTTCTAATGGAAGTTTCCTATGTTTTTATGTGTACTCTTTCTAACAGAGCTGAGAAAAAGATGCTTTGATAAGGTTATGAAGTTCTAAAGGCTAATCTTCTTGAAAGACGAGTTGGGAACATTTGTCATTTGCCTGATAGACGTCAGGCATTGCAGAAAAGATCTTTGCGACAGCTCGCTTCTATTCAAATGATAGAGAAAACATTTTCCTTCAATTTGGCAGTAAATCTGAATATGTCTTGATTTGAAACTTGATGTAACAAAATCAAAATTGCGGTGAGCTTAAATTAGCAATCC